AGGTGACCTCTAAGTGGGGTGCAGCACTATTATCGCGCTTATCATTCAGTAAAATAGGAGATTACTACTTATGGGCATTCCAGCAAAGGTACGCTTCCGGTTATCTCATCCCATCCTCTGTGTGTCATTTCTGAATATGTGAAAAAGGGATTTTCCCCCTCCTGAGATGTCACATTTGTTTTAAAAAATGGTCCTACATTGGTAGCCAACCCAGAGTATGCCAATTGGTGAGTGTTCCATATTATTAGCTATAATTAGTTGTTTTTTTTTTCGCTATCTCTCACCCTGCAAAAAAGGATAAAATGGGGGAGGGTGGTTAAATTTTCTTCGCTCAGATGGGGCAGTCTGCCAAGGAGGCACCAGATAAATAAACTTTAGAAGGCACGATGAATAAAAATCGTTTAAGCCACCTTAGCACAGTTGGTAATGCGTTTGATTCGTAATCAAAAGATCGTGGGTTCGACTCCCACAGGTGGCTAGCTCTTTCTAGGTTTTTGTGAAGCCATAAAAGATAGTGTATACTTCAGAACAACCAGTGCATCTTTATATGGTAGTAAAAAGATGCATTCATAATATACAAGGGATACTTCCTTTCTATAATTAATACATGTGGCACATATGCCACATCTTAATTGAGAAAGGAGGAATGCAAAAAAAATAGGGAATCAATTGAAAGGTATCCCAGTTGTGGCAGCTTCTACCGTATCTGCAACCCCCCTTTTAACGTCACCGCAATCAAATAAATATGAATTCCATCTCTTCAAGCTTTTTAAACCGTATTATATACTTGGGTAAATTTCTGTACATGGCTAGCTTAGGGGCGGACCTGCACTATAGCCAACGGGGATGGTCAACTAAGAATAGGTTCATTACCAACGTAGCCATTGTATAAATACATAAAATTAAATACTGCTGCTTAGCTTGGGGCATTTAATGCCTTTGCAGAGGCCTACTCCTCCCCCCCCCCCTACCTGCATTCCCCATCGTAGCTATGTGGCATATCTTCTTCATTCCCCCTCACCGTTAGCGTCTCATTGCAAAGATCATGAAGGACGGTTTGGAATCAGAGAGGTTAATAACCCCTCTATTTGTATGCGCGGAGTTAGGAGTACCTTTTTTTTTTCTCTCTCCCCTATAAGGTACACAGTGCGAGGATATGACAATTCGTTTTTTTGGCGGTACCACAGGAAGAGGCGAGCCTGGTTAAGAAGATGCGGCTTGGAGGCAGCGTCACGGCAAGCAAAAGAGAAAAGCAACACGAATATCATGCTCTGACCTCTCTCTATCTGTACTTCTATTTGTTTCGTTCCCTCCTGTGCCCTATCCACACGCGATAAAAGTGAACCAAACAGGCACAAAAAGATTCGCTAATTTCAAAAGAACTAAAAATCTGATAAACGTATCAGTCAGACAAATGTTCGATTGCTCCTGTTTGTTTAAAAAAATGACCCAATGGGGGTATGATCCCCCGGGTGGAGAACAATCAAGCATACAAAAAAAAAAAAAAAAAAAAAAAAAAAAAAACATGACGGATGGGTAGACATACACACATTTTCTCACGGGAAGGGGACCAACACGTCAAAATACGGATAAATACCTACCTACGTTCCACACAAAGTCAGTACTTATTGGTGTAGAGGAACTTCTCCAGATCTTTATAAATGGGAGAGTCCGGTCCGTAGGTCTTTATGATATTCTTCTTGGCTTTGTGAATTAAACTAAGGCCCTCCGACTTGAGATCAAGAAAGAGGGCAAGTTTCCCAGTTAAGAAAATATAGTAGCCATAAATAGGAGAGTACTTCCCATAGGAAACTTCTATAGATTTGAGGTACTGGTTAGCAATGTTGTATGCTAACTTAAACTCTTGGAGTTGTATAGAAATGTAAAGAATCTTGGCTCTCATCTTTTGCAAAGAATATCTGGTATGGTGATAAAAGGTAGTTAAGTAGTCAATTTTGGACTTAATTTTATTAAGTGACTGTAACACCGATTTATTGTCGTAGGTGTATTTTTCACTGAAGAGAGACTCCAAATGAGCAGTCTCCTTAACAGTTTCTTTCTCCTTTTCCATCAAGCTTTTTATAATATTATCATGCACTTCGTTTTTACAGATGGAACATTTCCACACATGTTGTTGTTCGTTCGTTTTTTTTAAAACAGGATAGGAATTTTTAAATTGACTTTTATTCATATAAGAATTTTTTCTTTCCAACTCAGATATTAAGATTAGCTCCATATGGTTAACACTTTTTTTACAACTCTCTGAATGAGTACATATCAGTTCTGTATTAAAAATATTTTGGCATTCAGCCACGACGTTCACTTTACATAGCTTACACGTGCAGGTAAAGAAATACTGATCCATGCAAATGGCTAGCCTGGTATTCTTGTCAAATGCTATGTCGATATAACTAATCGTTAGTTCTTCTCCAGGATAGACATCCATCAAGGTTCGTATAAATAGCTTCTGGTTTTTAAATATAGTCACACAGTTACTCAAACATGAGTGATTAAAATACGCCACGGGCTTTTTGTAAAATCCCAATCCTGCTGGTTCTAATTCATTATCAATTATCTGCAAACTATTTTTAGAAATTTTTACAAACTTCTCGATAACATTTTTCAGTATGCTTTCATTATCTTCAAAGTTGGCAAACATTTTTTTTTTTTTACTCATCAGCGCTACGGCTACTATATATGCTGGGTATTTAAAATACTCGTATTTTTCCTTTGACAATTCTGCTACGCTTCCACAGTATTCGTAAAAGTTAAAATGGCTTAAGTAACTATTAATTACCATCCGCATGATGATGGATGGGCAGAATTTGTCAAAGATATTGGACTTAAACACTTCACATTCGTCTCTATGCAACTTCCAGGCTAGTTCCAGACACACCTCACTACAATACACCACATATTTGCAGTTAGGACAATAAAAACTTTTGCTAAATTTTTCAAAGCAGTAAAAACATATGTTCACTGTTTTGTAAGAACTTTTTTTATTTTCTGCATCGATGATTCTCGGTGCCATGTATTTCACACTGAGGGGGACGAATATTTCTGGGTGTGTCTCCACGATGCAGTACCCCGCTCGCATCTGACTCACTGCGACTACGTACTTCCCCTTATCCTCCTTGTAGTCGACTTTGTACATTTGACTGGGTGACGCGGGCATGGTTGGATGGCGGTGGTATATTTCGCTTGTTTGTAATTCCCTCTAGCTCCGCCTCCGTGTGTGTGCGGGGGGGAAGCAGTCGTGCCGACGCGATGGTGGCTACGTTGTGCTTTCTCCACGGTGGTCCCCACGTTATCCCCCCTGCACTGCCGACCCTACGTTATACTCCCTCCGCTGCGGACCCTGGGAGTCCCACGCCACTACCCCCGACACTGTGACACTGAAAATAAAGTCGGGACGCGTTTCACTGGGACTACCTTATCAGTTTCTCACGAGGGGGGCAAGCTGACATGAAGCGGAACTCTGCATCGTAGCATCTCTTTTCCAGATTAGCCACTCGCGGCCGCGTCACATAAACGCTGTGTTGCGACAGCCGCTGGGGTTAGAAAAAAAAAAGAGAAGAAAAGAGACCTGAAGATAACCCACTCCTTTCTTTGCTAATTTTATGCTTATTAATTTTCAAAAAACTGATCACAAAAAAAAAGGGGTCACAAAAAAAAAAAAAAGGCGACAGATAGATAAAAGATTGCAATGATTAAAATACTTTTACATAACTTTACAGGCATATGCGTATCTGAGGATATTATATACTCCACCGGGGAAAGGCATTTCGTGAACTGCGAATTTGGCAGCAGGGCTTGGCCATCCGTATATGTACCTACTATGGGCTTATGCAGAAATGCGTGCACTTTTCTAAACAGGAAAAAAAATCACTATCCCCTGATCGCAAAGGCGCCATGCTTTGAAGCCGCAAGAAATGTTAAAAAAAAAAAAGAATAAAAGTTATGCGCAAGGGATGTCGGGGGCCCACGTTACATACTCCCCCGCTGCATCACAAGTAAGCAGTTTTTTTTTTTTCCTTTTCGCTCCTTTTTTGCGAAAAAGGGAATTAAAATAATACATTTTTTCATACCACATTGCCGGCATCTTTAAGCAGTGAAGTTCGAACCTTCAGTCTTCACCAGTCTGCGTGCAACACGTCCCACTTTTAAAGAGCGAGTGCACCATTAACGAGAATTCCCTGCTTTGTTCTACTCACAGTGTTGCGGGGAATCTATGGTGGTGAAAATCCGGAGTGACGCTTGCTAAGGGGTTACGAAAGCTTATCACTTCGGTGTAGTATCCCCTTCCGCACACCAAGAGGAGACAACCCCGCTTCGGAGTGAGCTCGTCCATTTATGTGGCCAACTCTCTACCCGTTGGGTTCCCGGCATACCCTTATTGGAAAGGCTTCTCCCCAGCAGCGAGTGACACCCGGGGAAATGCTAATACCGTAAGGTAAAATTGAACACTCCCTTTGTGCGTTCCGTTTATGCCAATATTTTTACCGGGGCACATTAGTACACCCATAAATAGCTACACTCATGAACAGGTCAGCTCTCCACCCAGATGTACTAACTATAAGGGATCCCCACACAATTGAAAGATGCACCTTATGGGAAATAAAATAACGCCAATTCTCTCTTTCATGCAAACTGAAGATAAAAACTGAGTGAAATTCCCAAAGGGGCAAGGAGTAACCTACGGGTCTACGTGGATTTATGTACGGGCATCCTCTGGTGGCATCTCTGCAAGGGTAGCAACTTGCTATTTTACCGTACCAGGTTGGCACCCCCACCACGGAACTATGGTCATGGGGACCAAGCAGCTGAATTCTCTCTTTTCCGCACCGCTTGGAAGGAACGCGCGGGGGATATTCAACTGGTCAAATTCCATGCAGACGTTGCGAAGAAGAGGGAAGTTCTCCTACACAACAAGATGCACCCCCTCAAGGGGAAAAAAACACGCCGAGGAAAACATCCCCATGGAGGAACTAAAACAATATTTATGTGCTGAAAAAATACATTCGGAAGATTTCAAAAAAATAATAACCAAGTGTGTGCAAATGAATAAAGACAGTGACACACGTATTGAAGATTTATTGCTCATTTTAATTTTGTTTACAAAATTTTCCCCCCATTTTAAGAAAACATGCGGAGATTCACTCCACGATGAGATTTGCCATAATATATTTAGCAGCATAAAATTAAAAGCACATTATTTATACACAAGCAAAATGCTCATCCACACAATGAACATATTGACCAATTTACAATTTATTGACAACACACTTGTCCTTGCATTCACAAATAAATGTTCCTATTTTATACAAAATGAGGAATACCAAGTGGAAGACTTGGTTCATTTTCTTTCCATTTTTAGTCGAATTTATTTGTTGAAAAATGACCCTAAATTCATGAAATTAAAAAGCTTCAATTGGGTGCTAATCAGAAATATATGCAATAAATTGACATACAATTTTGACCGTTTTTTTTTAACCTACCAGGATTATGCATACACACACAAGTTGAAGAAAAAAATTCATGAGCAGATTAGGAATATGCACTCCGAGGGAAAAACCTCTCGACTGCCTTCACATTGTAGTGGAAGCATTTTAAATAGGTTCGACACTGTTGACCCACGTGCCAAACGGGTCAAAAGTGGCAACTCGGAGCTTCAAATAGGTGATAATTTCGGAGGGGGATTCCCATCTTTTACCTCCTTCATAGAGTTCTCCCAAAATTCTTCTATCAATGAACATTTGGGTGATACCCCTTTTGCGACTGCCCCCCATGCCACTCCTTTTACAACGATGGGCTCGTCCCTCAATGGAGCTACTCCAAATGAATTCCCCCGTGACGTTTCACAGCTGGATTCCTCACAAGAAAGGCACTATCTTCTCGACACGCTTCTCAGCATCAGCAGAAGCCTGAGGGATTTGAAGTTCCCCCACATGGGGCTGCTAAACGAGATTGCCAGCAGGTTGCAGAGCCATTTTTTGGAGGCAACCCAAGGGGATGGGGTAGAAACTTGTGGCGATGTTGATGACGCCGCATATGACCTGTGTGAGGAGCGTGCTGACACCGACACAGACATCGCCACCGCTACTGCCAGAAAAATCTTTTACATCATGCAGTGCCACCTCTACCTGAAAGTGGACCATCATATGCTGTACAAAAGCATCCTGAACAAGTATAGAAACCAACTGCCGAACGTGGGCAATTTGGTAGTTCTGTTCTTCTTGCTGGCAAAAAATAAATTATTCCCCTCCAAGACCATCCACCTATTTGATGCAGCGTTTAGGGAAAAAATAAGCCAAGGGCAGTATGATGAGAGGGACCTCTCCACCCTTTTAAACTCCTATGCAATGCACAAATACAGGCAGAGGTTCGTCATTCGGTTGATACTTTCTCGTTTAGTCCCAAGCGGTGTCAGCCTTCATCAGGGCCATGACGGGGATGATGAGGAGTACTCCAATCATGAAGATCAAGACACTTCCTCTTTTAATCCCGGGGAGGTTCCCCTTCCCAGTGGGGGAAGTAATGGGAAAGTCCCAAGTGGCAAGTGGAGGCAGGGCATAAGTTGCAGGGATGTCCGAAACGGCAGTGGTGAAGATCCACAAACACCTAGCCTCATGGTGGACCTTCCCGGAAAGGTAAAAATACTCCACAGCTTGTTCAAATTGGACATATACGAAGAGACGCTCATCTTCGAAGTATTCAAATCGATAAGCGAGGACAACATAAATCGTCTGGACTATAAGGAGCTAGCCAAATTGCTACTAACCATGTGCTACTTCTCCATCGACAATGCGCATGCATACAATTTAATCATAAAAAATTTAATAAAATTTGACATCATTCTAGATAATGTATACCTGACCCAGCTGAAGATCTGCGAGCTAGCACTTCGAACAAGACACGTCCCAAATGTGTATGACCAACTGAATGAGGAGTGCATAGAGTATATGACGTTCATAAAAGGTAAAGAAAAAGATGCAGAGTATCACATTAAATCTGATTTACAAAAAGAAATTAAGAACATCCTTTTGACCTTCAATTTATGCATGTCGGAGGAGATATCCCTTGGACCATATGACGTCGATTTTGTGGAAGAAGACCAAACGTTTTTTCGAATTTCGAGAAATTATCTTCTTCGCAGGGATGGTAAAGCATCATCCATTATGTCGGGGGGGGTACCCCATCAGAGTACCAATTATAATGTGCCTATATCCCATCAGCAGGAATCCACAACGATGAGTCACCTTCCAGAAAGCGACTCACGAAGTGGAAACCCTCAGAAAAGAAGAACCAAATTGATTGTTGAGGTAAACGGAGAACACCACTTTTATAAGAACAGCAAGTCCTACACCGCACTGTCAAAGCTGAAGCACAAGTTATTAAGCGACCTTGGATACACGGTTATCAACATACCTTATTTCGAGTGGGGACAGCTAACAACCAACTTGGATAAAAAGGCCTATATTAAAAAATTAATTTCCGACAGCCTTAATTTTGAGGTAGTGAATGTTTTACCACTTAACCAGAAGAGTGAATCGCTGGGGAGGAAAGAAATGGAAAAGGTCGTTTCAACCATTCGGCAGAGCAGACCAAGGACTGACTTCTTAACCGGCATTGCCAAGTTGAGGGGGAGAAATAAGTTGGCCTTTTTAAAGAGGAAACTTAAAAATGTGTAGCTCCGCGGTGTGTACCTTATTTCACCGGGAAAACCGGGCAAGGGGAGGGGCTCAAGATGAAAAGTGCTGCATAGAGCCATCTTGAAGCTGCGCGGATTGGGGTTCCACTGGATACATCGCATTGCTTTGGGGTTTACTTGTCTGTTTTTTTTTTTACTTTTTCTCCTCTTTTTTTTCGTACTTTTTGTCCTCTTTTTTTTTTGTATTTTTCCTCCTCTTTTTTTTCGTACTTTTTTTTGTCTTTCCACAACTTGGTCATAAATGAAAAAATTAGAAAGCCAAGTTTGCCCACTGAAGATAGAGGGGCTTACCCTTTTCCATTCGCAGATCTGCGTGCTTTATTCAAATCCATGCTGTTGTATGCTCCCCACGTGAGTTTCCCTTCCGAGGGGTTGCAAAAAGGCCTCTCTAACTGAGACCCTACTAGCTTCTCCCTTTCCGTATGGATAAAAAAAAAAAAAGTAGCAACTCCTCTATTGCGTCTGTGTAGTTTCGGTTTGAAAGTACATACTGGGGAGAAGCGGATAGGCACTACGCATGTGGTGCCACTGCAAAGGGAGTGGAAACTGTGGATGGATTATTACTATTTCAGACCCACCTTTGTACAGATGCGGCTTATAACGAAGCGGTGGTGGTTATGATGATGATGATGAGGGCGTGTAGTTGGGATTCCATGGATTTTCGCGAGTGTATATTTTGTTCTAAAGCGGTACGACATGCTCATCTAGCACATCTATGATGGCCAAAAAAAAAAAAAAAAAAAAATGTGCCCTTTTCCCCCCCCACACATACATATGCATATATGCATATCGCCGTGCAGACGCCGTCGTGGGAGCGTCAAAAATTGTCGATGTCCTCCTGGAAGTCTACGTCGTCCTCCGGAATGTTCTTCTCCGTCTGGTAGTTCTTGAAGGTGTTGTAGCCATAAGTGTTTTTGTTGGAGACGGTGCTCTCCAGGATGGGGCCGGCATAGTTGGGGTGGATTCTTAGGATAACATTTTCCACGTCCTCTTCATTAGTCTCAGATAGCAACTTCATGTCTTGATTTATCAATCGATGGATAATTTTCTTCAGTTTGTAAATCCACTCATCGACCTGTTCACTCGATTCAGCTTTGGCGTACACTTGCAGGTAAGTCTCAATGAGCTGATCCTGCGTAATGCTTTCACTGTTATTGTTAAATTCGTATTCTTTAATAATTTCGAAAATGATGGCAGATATGTACTGATACTCGCTAGCCTTAATGGTCATGACCTTTTTACTCTCCACTGGGTTATTGTCGCCATTTTCCGGTTGGATGATTTTGTTCGTCTTGCTATTCAAAAGAGAGTTGCTAACTTTGTCGAATTCTTCATCCAGATTTATTTCCTTTTCGTTGGATATTTTTTTCATGGAAGCTTTAAATATGGAGCAAGCAATTTCGACATGTTTTATGTCGACAAAATGAGAGAACTTTAACTTAGCCACTGCTTCACTCAATCGGATGAGTGACTCTAACTGACGAACAGTCATCCTCATGGATCTCTGAGCACCTGGCGAGTACTCAATATTTCGGAAGGAGACATAGTAGTGTATCAATTTGTACTTGGCTTCATCTGTTAGTAATGGTTTCACTCTTTTACTTAGCTCTAGATACACTTCCATCTTGACCGTATCCAACTTTCCTGCGTTTGCTCTGATATGTTTTTGCGCTTCCTCTCCGCAGTGCATAGAAACCAAGTGGTTGGCAATGTTGGTGTCTTTGTCTATGTCGATGCTGTCCAGCATTGTGTAGAAAAGATCAAATCTGGAGAGCAACGGTGCGGGGATGTTTACATTCTGCGCAAAGGTTTTTAACGTATCGTATCTTCCATACTTAGGGTTACATGCTGCTAAGACAGATGCCCTCGCATTTAGGGTTGCTTGGATTCCTGCCTTAGTTATCGAAATGGTTTGCTGTTCCATTGCTTCGTGAATGGCTACTCGATCCTTTTCGTCCATCTTGTCAAATTCGTCAATGCAGCAGATGCCCTGATCCGCATACATCAATGCACCTGCTTCTAGGACCGTGTCTCCCTGATCAGGATCCCTATGCACAGCTGCTGTCAGCCCTGCAGCAGTGGATCCCTTTCCAGAGGTGAAGATAGCTCTTGGGGCAAAACTTTCCACATATTTTAATATTTCACTTTTAGCCGTTCCTGGATCCCCTACAATACACATATTTATGTCTCCTCTCAATTTGCAGTTCGAAGTGATTTTCTGAACCCCTCCTGTCATCATCAACAAAGCTCCTTTCTTTATTTCGAGGTTTCCCCATATTTTGGGAGCTATACATTCGGCTAAAATGTCGATGGTGTTGGGATGCATAGCAATATCTCGGAGCCATTTCAAATCATCACAATTTAGAATTTCCTCACAGTTAATATCTACCTGTGTTTGATCATCGAAGGAGTTTTCCTTCTTCGAATTATTTAGCTTTTCAATTTGACATGCATAGATACACAGCTTGTGATTTAAGTCCTGTACTCCTACCCCCTTGATTCCTGTTAGCCCCTGCGAGACTAACGAGTTTTCATTTTTTTTTAAAATTTGTCTAGCCACACTACGGGGAATATCGCCTGGTTTCATCAAAGTGGGGATATCTGGCACAACAATTAAGCACCCCGTTACGATGATTCTATCTCCCGCATGCACCGAGTCGACGATGTCATTGCGAAGAATCACATCCATGTTTCGAGGCATGGATCCTGGTGGGCTTTCCTGTGCAATTTCTTGTAGTCGAATTTTCTGCCAATCGACAAAGTAAGACTGTTCCAGGACGAGTGACCAATCATACATATTGCTGCAGCTGGACGACGGGCACTTACTCGGTTGTGTATACCTAAATTGCTGTTTAACTCCGCTGATGATATTTCCACATTCGTTACATTTGAAGGCAGCTAATGTTAACTCGGGTCTTACATCGGACGTCCGGGTTACTTGTCCTCGTACACTAATCATCTCACCAAGCATTTCACATCTTAAGCTTCGCAATGAATGGATAGGATTTTTTTTATTATAAAATCGGAGACATAACTTCCCAACTTCCTTCGTCTTTATCGGATTGATACTCTCTGCTAGGGCTTGTACCTTCTGCTCAAAAATGTCCAATATTCTGAGGAAGTGCCTCTTTATGTATATGTACAGCTGACTTCCAATGTCGAATCGTTTTTTATCTGTTGGTTCCCACATCAACACATGTTTCATATCCACCACGAGGACTTTATTTCTGGAGTAGGAATTCTGCAGAATTGAAAAAAGTAATAACACGTAATGCGCATCCTTGGCGATTTCCAGCGAGCTAGGGAAATTCAAATTTAAATTGTCTTTCCAGACACTGTCATTATCACCATCTTCATCATCTTCATTTTCTTCATCATTTTTTTTTTCAGAGAAGGTTTTTAAAAATTTCTCAAATACCTTTGCCATATTTTCATCTTGAACATAAGATGGTTCATCATCTTCCTCGTCATCCTCTTCATCTTCTTCATCAGCTTCTTCTTCTTCCTCCTCATTCATTACGTCATTTCTGCCTAAGTTGGAATTTTCGTCAAATTTCCTTCTCTTCTTTTCATAGCTGGACATTTCGTTGTTTCCGAACACGCTATGGGCGTCCAGCCCTGACAGTTCGCTTTCGTTGAACATCCCTGACATGGTGGTTGTGTCTCCTTATTCAGTAAGGGGTTCTCTTCAGTATAGCACTTTCTACCGCTTGGTCTCACCTTGACGTGTGCTGCTTTGAGTGCTCGCGTGTAAGTTTCTGTACCAATGGGCCAGCTAAACTACTACGCGTACACTACTACGCATACACTACTGAGCATACAACACTATGCATACACACTTGCGCACGCCCGATGTCCGGTGGGTTATCAAAATGGCTTGCTCCCCCCCTTGGTGTAATTTTATTGTATCTTCAGCGTATCGTGTGAAGTACGCTTTGGTTGCCCTGGTCAGCTGCAATTTGTTTGGCCTACTTTAATAGGTGAACCTTTGCTCAGCGCTCCCTCGTTTCAAGCCAATTTACGCACGTAACAATTTTTATTGTGTCACAATTGGGTTTTCCTCTTGGCAGTTTTGGCATCCTTCGGAATATGCATATGTATGTGCATATGTACAGGCACATATGTGTATTTTTTTTCTTTACTTTTTTTTTTTTTTTTTCCTCCCCAAAGAGATGCGTACCTGCCAGTTCACTCTCCCCTGGGTGCGTATTTTTCCATGCGCACATCGAGGGTCCAATTTGCGACGAAGCGCAATTGTGTACACGTATACGTACACATATGCACATGCGTTTGTTCAACTTAAGTTCCTTCTTCAAAGCTACGCCATGTGAACATGCCAGTGCGCTTTAAGCGAATTCTGGGCCATTCCACTTTTCTTCTATTTTTGCGCATAAATACGCAGGTAAAGTGAGCAGGATTTTTTTTTTTTTCAATTTTAGGTAACCACGCGGAAAAAAAAAAAAGAGCGATTGGGAGAAGGCCAAATAGAAAGAGCTACACCACTACGTGTACACACCTGCGCCGATCACCTATGCCAATCACTAAAAAGACTTTCACAGCTACCTTTTTGGCTAAGTCGAACGATTAATTTTGCCAAAGGGCCTAGGCAACAACTGAGTATTACTTGGCAAAATCGGTCAACGGTACTTGCTAATTAAAATGTTCATAGTTAAAAAAATTGGGGCTTGAAAAAGACAAAAAAAAAAAAAAAAAGGGATACGCAAAAGAGTGTGCAAAGGTGTGCCCAAAGGCTTGCACGTACGCACATATACCCACACGGGGAAAAACGCAGCCCCCAAAGGCACGCTACTTGGGCGCCTTCTTGTTCGTTAGCTTACCCATATTCCCATTTCCCTGCTTGCCCATTCCGCTTCCCCACTGCAGAAGGGCTGCTAATGGAAGCCTTATGGGCGATATACTCTTAAGAAGGTGGAAAAAATTCGACAAAAAAAAAGACTCCTTGAGATTATGCGCACTTTCGGTTCCTTCGGGATGAATGCCGAATTCTCTTTCGCAAATGCCGACTCTCAAATGCCGCGCAGGGGCTAGGCAGAAACTCATGCGGGGGGAGACCTCCACACGTGCATGTTCTGCGGAGGGATGCACGTGATACAAGACGCTCACGCCGCACATGGACGACGCGGGCACTATGATTAAAAAGAAAACACGTAACCATTTTTGTACACCTTATGCTTGGCGGTACTTAACGGTAACAAGGACAGTGAAAAAAGAAAAAAAGAAAAAAAAAAAAATAAAATGAACGTGTCAACAGACGTTATGCATCGCAGGAAGAACCCGCGTCGACATTTGGCAAACAGCATACATGTGATAACCGAGCGTAACGTACACCTGGTGAACCCCTTTTTTGTCACTCAAACAGGAGAGGTTTTAAAAGAGGGTTTTCTTCCTCCAGTGGAAAATGTCCTCATGTTCGTCATCAAGCTGGAAATTACTTTCATTCCTTTGTGCATTCCTTTTTGGTTTCTTTTTTTCTTTGTTTCTTTCTTTTTTTTTTTTTCTATTTTTTTCTTGCTTTTGTTTACCCTCCTGGGGGTCCATTTCTGCTACCCCCCGGTTGGCCGACTTCCTCACAATTTCATCCAAAATTTGTTCCTTGTCATCAAACTTATCATCATACAAGTAATCGATGTAGCTGTTCTTCTTCTCCTCGTACACATTTTCTATCGTCTTAAACTCTAGCAAAATGTTCTTTTTCTGTTTTTTAATTTCTCCAATCTTTTGGTTTATCTTAGATAGGGAAAGATTTTCTCTCACGAGAATATCTTTTTCTTTATCATCGAAAAATCCCCTGGGCAAATTTTCATATTCATTTGTCTTTTTTCCCTCCTCCCTATTCTCATCAGCGCGCTTGCTAGTTGGCGTGTTTCCCCTTGTGTGTGCAATCGGGGCATCACCTTCCTTCATCCCCCTTTTTAACTTTAGCATGTCGTAAATTTCGTCAATGTTAAAATGGTTGTCATTATCGTTCCTGTCTTCATCGACTCTTCCTTTTTCCATTTTTTTTTTTTTTTTTCGAAATTCATTCAATTCTTCAAGTAGTTCTACCTCTCTCTCTTCATTTTCTTCTTTCTCCTCATCATACGTGTCTCCTAAAATGTATTTTTTTTTCTCCACAAGCATTTTGTGTAAGTAGTCTAACTCTTCGTAGTAAGCCGTGTCCAGCAGTTTGTAATTTGTGAAATCTTCCATATTGGTAGTGAACAGATTCATAATGGGGTTTCCTTCTTGTTCTCCCTCTCCATCGGTTTGATCACCTTTACCTTTAAGCATGTCTCTTCTGCGGGTTTTTTCTCCTCTTTCGAATGTACCTCTCTCATCGTTTTCTTCTGCATCCAAATGGTATTCCCCCTCCAGTAGCAACTTCCTTTTTCTTTTTATTTGCCTATGAAATTTTTCATTTTCTTCCAGTTCTGCACTTCCAAGGATGTCCTCCGTAATTTCGTACGTTTCGATCACTTCAACGTTTGGATCGTTCTTTAAATCAAATTTGTTTCCGCTTCGATGCTCTGTGGAAGGGGTTCCATTGCCTATTTTGTGCGATGATGCATACCTCCCGCTTGATATATCCTTTTCTTCATTTAAGCCATAGTGGAGAGGTGCCCTATTGACTTCTTCCTCTTCAGAAGGTGGGTCACTTTGATCTGCTTTTCTCTTCCCTCCAGGAGTTCCTTCCATAGGACTGGTAGCTCTCTTGTCATTCTTTTCACAGCTACTATGATTGAAGGTCACTGTGGAGTCGAAAAAATCTGCAGGTAAGTCGACCTCAACATCCTTCTCGTCCTCCTCATCTTTGGAAGCTCCTTCAGAATTATCACTTTTCTCTTCATTGCTATAGTCCAAAAACGCATCCTTAAAATTGTTGTTTTTATTTAGCCTGTTTAGTGGTGCAGTCGGTTCGGCGAAATGCACCCTTCTAGCGATTTTAGTGTCATTTGTTTTTTGCGTCGCCATCTGTTCATTGTTGGTCATTGCACCGGATGGCCTTGTCCTCCCCGCAACCTCACACAATTGTTCTTCTACATAGTTATACTTTTCCGTATAGCTACCATGTTCGGAGTTATTTTGAATTTTTAAAAAGAGCCTGTCCTGTTGTGCACTCTTTGTGTAATAGTTCCCCGGTGTGTCTTTCCCAATGGGGTAATCTTCCCGCCCTGCTGGTTGCTTCACTTTTTCCGCTTTTTTCTTTTCCTCCCTGAGTAACTTCCTTCTTTCCTTCTCCTGCTTGATGAGGTCCTTAATGTTTGCACTCATCCTTTCATTCTTCTCTTCGCCGGAGAAAGGCGTGCTACCGGTCGACGTAAGTCACAGGGGGGGAGTCATTCCAGGGGCCGAGCCGGACGAACCCAAAAGGAAACACAAAAACGAGAAAAACAAAAAAAACAAAGAAGCTAAAGGAGAAAAAAACAAAAAATGCAAAACTATGAAGCGACAAATCGATGGAAACACCGCTTAACGCTTTTCCAAAAGGGGAAAATTGCCCCTTCGAAGGCAGAAATTTACAAACGCGTGCTTTCATTCAGAGGGGGTGATAAAATGGAAAATCCTCCCTACTGGGGGGAACATTCCATATGTATAATATAATATTTATTTTTTCCTCTTCTCCTGGCAGACCATTGCAAAGGTTAATTTATGCGTTGAGATGCAGTTTCAAAA